GATCTGCCGCAGCAGATCGAGGTACGGTCTGAACTACATATGAAAAGTGTTGGTGTCTGGCTGTCACCTCTCAATAAAAGCCTCTATCAGTGGATTATTGTGCTAAATGATAGAGAACAATTACGCAGGTGATACAAGCTCGTACTCTCTAGCAGTGAAACAGAATGAGCTTAATGGGGTCCAACCAAGTAGATTTACCGTGCGACCGCGACTTAAGCATATGGCGCGTATGCTCAATATATATTCATATTTAAGTATAGCACAATCAAGATTAAACACTTTAAATAAAATTAATAAGTCGGACCGGTGTTTTGCACGCCAAACCGGGCGCCGGAAGCTGTTACGCTCGGTTTGAGCGTGGACCAATGTTTTCCCGAACTGAGCGTGGATCGGTGGTAGCTTCGGACGCTCTCGTTTTGTTTGTCTTTTCTGTCCAGATTTTTCGAACAAAATGATCAGTATCCCGATCTTCATCCGATGAGCTCATTTATGTCGTATATCACTTCAGTAAAAATGACAGATTAGCTTCTATTGTTAATGAGAGAATTTTTTTCTAGAAATAGAGGGGATTAGGTTTTTTTAACTATAAATAACAATTTTTTAACCGTAAAGTAAGTCCCAAAATTAATTTAATCTTTTTTCTTGATTAATTGTTTAATTTAATTGTGTGGGCTTAACTTCGAAATATAAAAACTGCAATAAAAATAAATTATAAACAAGGACAAATAACACAGATCAAACCAAAACAATTCACCGAGTGGACGCTCATAGCTTCGCCATTGTACTATGGGAGCTCATGCATAACAAGTTAAGGCATGTCGAATCTTCAGGCAATATAAAAAGTAATATTATCACCAACACTTAATTATTTTGTGATTCTATATTTTTTTTAAAATTTTTTTTTTTCAATTATTGAAAGTTTAATTTATAGAACGCAAGGCCTAACGTCACTTTAACGGTGTCATTTAGTTGGAAGGAGGATCCGAATGCTCGGCCTAACGTCGCTCAGATTATACAAATGCTGAAGCAGTAGTATCTTTCTACTATCTCTCCCTCCGGCGGTTCCTCGCCGGATTTTCAATTCCGGTGACCGGAATTCTGTGTTTCCGCCGGTGATACACCTAAAACGACCATGGAAAACCAGATTTTTCTTTTGCTGCTACTGATAAATCTTTAGACAACAATGTTCAATTTTCCGATTTTTGCGGTTGTAAATATTACGGAGTTTCGATTACTAATGATGTATTATAGTTGTAATCGGGTCCATTATTATGTTGGACGTTTAGCTGAATTATTGCAAAAGAAAAACAGAAGTTGAGAATGAAATACAAGTTATTTAAAAGGGAAAATGTTGAAAAATTAATAAAATAATAAATAAATTATATTTGAACACATATCAGTTTTTACATGAAAAAATTAAAATTAAAACGAGACAAATCTAAATAAAATCCATTGTGCTTGAGAGGGTAAAAGAAAAGTTGGCTACGGGGGCAAAATGGGTCTACATAAACTAGGTGAGTCGCCAGTTATAATTAAATGGAAGTATATGGGCGAGAGTGTAAATAAACTAAAATGCTAAAACCCCTGGCCCTAAATTAGCAAGCTAACAACAAAGCCCGACCAAAAACCCTCCTCCGCGGCGAGTTCCAGAATATTGCAGCAAAAATGTTCTCCGCTAACGCTAGAAATCTCCGGCAGCATTCGATCAGAACCCTCTCATCTCTGCTCCTCAATCAAAGGTGGTAAATCTATTGTTTTTTTTTCTTCCGAAATATTTCCGTAGAAAATGGTGCGTATTTCTAACAAGCTAAAGTTATTTGTGATTCAGGAACGAGATGCCGGCAGTAAGAAGTGTTTCGGAGAAATTGGCGCCTGGCATTAGCAATTTGAGCTGTGGAAAAATGTGGAATTATTATTTTGATGGAGGTCGAGGGTTTTCAACGAAGGGAATGAGCAGTAGAGTGGAGAAGCGGATGCATAAGGAGTCGGGCAAAACCCTAAGCGAATCACGAAGGGCTACAAAGTTGAGGAAGAAATTGATGACTGACGAAGAACGCCTTATCTACGATCTTAGAAGAGTATGTATGATACTGCTTTTACTTTGTTACTGAAATTAATTGCTTTTTTTTTTTGGCTTGAAATTGATTGTTGCATATGTTAGGCCTTCATTTTAGGATTCGTACGAGTTGTCGTTTCACACTCGTGTTTTCCGGTATTTTGGAGAGAAGATGAAATGTATTGGAACAAGAAAAGAGCTTATTGATTGATTTCGTCGGACGTGCGAAACTGTTAATCACTTTTTGCGATATATTTCTTGAACGTATGTCAATGCTTGTTGATTCAAATATGTTTAGAAGTTTTTGTAATGTTTGCCTTTCTCCATGATTTTTTTTCGGTTTTTAAACTTTGCTATAGTATGACTTGAAGAAAATGATGCTTACTCGTTGCCTTGTCGTTTTTGTACTTGTTTGTTATGTTCTTTAGTTTCACCGGCTTAATATATTCATTCCCCTTCTGATTCCTGTTTGACTAGTATAGGCAAAGAAAAAGGTTGCTTTGCTTCTTCAGAAACTGAAAAAGTATGAATTACCGGAGCTACCACCTTCTCGGCACGACCCTGAGCTGTTCACACTAGAGCAATTACAGGCATATAAGAAGATTGGGTTCAGAAACAAAAACTATGTTCCTGTTGGTGTTCGTGGAGTCTTTGGAGGGGTTGTCCAAAATATGCATCTTCACTGGAAGTTCCACGAGACAGTGCAAGTTTGTTGCGATAATTTTCCCAAGGAAAAAATTAAGGAGATGGCGACCATGCTGGCAAGATTGAGTGGTGGGATTGTAGTCAACATACACAATATAAAAACCATTATCATGTTCCGTGGCAGAAATTATCGTCAGCCGAAGAATTTGATACCTATCAACACCCTTACTAAAAGAAAGGTCGTCTATAAATCTTCCCTTTTAGAGCCTTTTGAAATTTGATACCTCTGAATTCAGATGTTAAACCCATAATTTACTGATGTCCCTTTTAACATGCAGGCGTTATTCAAGGCGAGATTTGAACAAGCTCTCGAATCTCAGAAACTGAACATAAAGCAAAGAGAACAGGAGCTACGTAGGAGGGGGGTAAATCCGGAAGATCCAGTAGCAATGGCCAGCATCCAGAGAGTGGCTTCCACGTTTTTCAATGCTATTGACAAGAGAGAGGGAAGTCCCTATATCTTTAGGGAGGATAAAACAACAACAAGAAGTCGAGTGGAACCCGAGGGCTTAAAACTACCTCAGGATTCTGGAGATGAAAGTGATCAGGAGGATCTCGACAAGTTCATTGCCGATCTAGAAGTTGCCGCTGATAAAGAATGGGAAGAGGAGGAAGCTGCAGAGAAAGAAGAACTTCACCGGATTAGATATTGGAACAGAGAAGATTTTGGTGGTAGATTCCCAAGATATGAAGAGAATGGAGGTGATTATTCAGATGATGAAAATGGTGGAAGGGTGAAAAACTGGAATCAAAATCAGAATCATAGGAGGACAAATGGTAATCGTCGGGGCGAAGATCGAGATTTTTCTGAGGTGGATGAAGATTTGGAATCTGATGGTGATGTCTCTGAGGAAGGTCATGATAAATTTGACGCAATTAAAGTGGATAGAAAGCAGCATAGTAGAGCGAATAGTAGGGGTTTTAAGTTAGATGAAACAGAATACAGGGGTAGGGAGAAAAGGGGTAGTGGTGCTTCAAGAAATGCGTTAAGCGACTTGGATGATGTGGCGTTTGAGTCAGATGGGGAAGGAGAAAACCCGAGAGAGTATAGAAGCAGTAGTGACGAGGGGGAAGAAGACTATGAGCAATTGCAGAGATACGAGGGAAGTAATAATTCCAAGAGAAGTTCGAATAAAAGTACTGCCAAATGGGAATCAGATGCCACATCAGGAGATGATGTCAGCAATGGTGAAAGCGACAAATGAGTGAAAGAGGAGATATGGGGAAGTAGTAGTAGGGAGTGACGGAAAATCGGAAAATCTCTCTAGATATAATTTTGGATTAAAAAAAAAACTTGATTTGGTTTGTTTACAGACAGAAATGGATGAACATGATTGCAAAACTTGCATAGGAGCGATATGCTTGAAGACACTAAACGCTCGTCATGCTGTGTTTGGGCTGAAAATCTCTGAACCAATTCAAGCACATATCGCACAAGAGCAGAAAATCAATGCATGTATGTAAACGGTGGAATCTGGACCGCAGAAATTCAGTCAACGCACACGTGATTGTTCTTTTGCATGAAGATTGTAGCCATATATACGGAAGGTACTTGGAGACGTTCGGAAATTATTTATGCATGAGTATTCGTGTTTATGCATGATTATTATGTTTCAAGCATGAAATATTTTTCTACTCAATTCTTTTCTTGATTTATATTTGAGAAAGAAAATTAATGTATGATATACTACGATAAATCCCTTCAACTCCGTAACCAATCCTAAATATTGGTCATTATACAAATCAAAAGGTTGTAAACATGCTATAACAATACACGAATAAATTAGTCTGAAAAATAAATAAAAAATGAAATAAAATAAAATAAAAATCCATAATGAAGAAGTCTGGAATCTGGATGTAATCATGTTTGCCCTTTAGTAAAACAGAAAAAATCAGCTGAATAAGTCATTCCCTAAAATAAGAGATTTTTTTTCAATATAACCACATATTTTCTTCTACCTCTTTTTCCCTAAACATTTCTGACCTACAACAAACCATACAAATACTATCCACCACTTTCTCTCACACAATTCCCAGGTAAAAGGTACTTATAATCCTCCGCATTCTCCAACAAATACGAAGGAAGATGAACGGCAGAATACGAATGAGGAATCGGCCCCATTTTCCCAATCATATCTCGAAAAGTGTACTCCTCGGGAAGCATATCGTACAAGTCAGCCCCTTTACATATCCTTTCTTGAATCCTCTTCGGGCTCAAGAAATGTGAAAACCTAACCCTATCGTTGTGGCTGTATGCCTTCATCTTGAATATAAAATCACTTATATACCGAAAGCAAAAGCTACAATGCCAACCCGAGTCCGACAGAAGATAGTCCGTTTGTCGGTAATGCGCGTACCTCGTTTCCCCCTTTTTGTACCTGTGAACGGAAGCCCGCCAGCTCATCTGATCATACAAGAACTCGAACGAGTACAAATAGTTCCTTAATTGAAGATGAAGTACATTCGGGATTTCGTCACACCACCTTAAGAGATCAATAGTATGTGCGCTAGGAATTTCATCAACATCCGACATTATCAAAAGATCGTCTTCTTGAATGCCTGCAATTCTTAGAAGCTGGTCAAGGGCGATCCTTTGGTAGGCTTCTTCGATGAAGGGGTTTTGGCGCCTCCGGAACCTCCCGCCGATTTTCCCGTAGGTCAAACGGGGTTCAACGAATTCGAATTTGTCTTTATTTATTTCGAAATTGAGGGGTTTCGGGAGAGCGGTGAAGGTGGAGTTGGATTCGAGGAGTACGAACTGAGTGATGTAAGGGTAGAGTTCTTTCCAACGGATTTTGAGCATGTCGATTTCGTTGCTAAATAAAACTGCGTCGAAAACGCGGCGAGGGAACTCGCGGGCCCCCCACCCGTGGAGCTTGCAGAGAGTTTCGATAGACACGTTTTCGTGATAGTAATGTGGGATTATGATGAAGGGTTTTGGTGGAGACTGCCATAGTGGCCGGAGGAAGTAGGTTATCTTTTGGCCGTGGAAGTATATTCCGATTATCGCGGTTGGTACTATGAGGAACAAGACTACGAGGGCACGGAAATCGAGACCGAGGGGTAGGCACCGTAATTTTGACATGGTCTTGAGAGTGTTTGGGGAGATTTGCTGCAAAAAAAAAAAAAAAAGAAATATAAGGACAAATGAACATTAGTACAAGAACAATTGCATAACATCAAACCTTAAAAAATATGACATATGACATACCTCAGAAACAAACAGCCTCAAGTTTCAATCTTTTTGACAAATTACAAGACAACAACAATGGCACAATAATCTTCAGTTTCTAGTAAGGAATTGAAAACCAGAGAGAAAGAGAGGAGAGAGAGATAAAGGCATATCTGAAAGCCACAAATGCCTTTACATAAATCATATCACATTTTCTGAAAATATAATGACAACCATATAAATTACAAGAACCCTAATTTCTTCCTTCCTCAAAGAATGCTTTTTTTATTTTTTATTTTTTTGTATTTCTTATTTTGTATTGAATCCTTAGACAGTTCTCCCTCTAAAAAGGAGAAAACTTTAGTATTCCTCTTCCCACATAAAGATTGGAAATCAATCAATATTATATATATATATATAGGGAAAGAGGCCCTGGTAATAAAAGACTCCTCCAAAAGGCAAAAAAAAAAAGACAAGAAATTTGGAGAGAATAAAAAAACAGGGGAAATGTTAATTGTTTTTCTTTAATTGTTCCTAAAAAAAGGCAAGTAAGTTTGCAGCATTAAGGGTTGGTAATAACTTTTTCATTTGTTGCATCTTCCCATTGGCTTTATCCGCCAAATTATAGCCGTTTGCTTGTTTTCTCCTCCTCCTCTGTTTTCTTCACTAAATATTTGCCCAAAAAAAGAAAATAGAAATTCACAGAGGAGAGAGAGAGAGAGAGAGAGGGGTGAGAGAAACTAACTATTTATTATTGCAGAGACGACCTTACAAATTACCATATTTACTGAAAAAATTGAAAACATTTTCCAGATGGGATTGATTTAGGAATAATAAATGATTAATCATTAATAAGGAGGAGAATATTTGTATGGTGGACCACGTACTAACATTTTATTTTATGCTATATATTCGGGAAATGAATTATTAGCATTCACACATTATAGTATCTTATATATTATCTACACTCTTACATATTTTTTATGAAAAATAAATGAAACTATATTTTTTATGGGTTCAAATTCAATTATAATTCTATTCAAGAAATTTATATCAAATATTTTGTATTTCATTGGTGTGTAATTAATGATTATTCGGCGAAGTAATAGGGGATTGACAAGGGAAGTCGAACTTGACACAAGCTCGCTTGCTGCTACCGCTGGATCATCTTTGCGGGACGACGTATACTAACTTAAACCTGAACTTGAGATTAAAAAATAAAATATTTGGTATTTATGAAAAGGTATATTCAAGCATGATTCCAATCCTTTTCTTTTGCATATTGGTCCTATTGGAGAATCATTATATCCTATAAGCCACAAGAAAAAGGCAAACCTCTTTTTCCAGTCTTTTTATTTAATAAAATAAAGAGAAAAACAAAAACTTTTTACTTATTTATTTTTTGAGAAAATTTCCAAATTCCAACCTATAAAGTAAAATTTGGTAAAAAGAAGTCCATAAAATACGGATGGGAATTAGGACTGGAGGGGCTCAAAATCTAACAAATCCGAAACCAAAAAGAACATTTAACATAAATATTGTTTTTTTCTAAGAGAAAAAAAGATATAAGTATTTTTTTGGGTAAATTACAAACACCCCCCTGAGGTATGGTCAAATTACAAAAACCCCCCTCTTGTTTGGATAATTACATCTACCCCCCTCAACTATGATTTTTTCTTACACCTCCACCCCTATGGTGCCAAATTCAACATAATCATCTAGATTCCATGGAATGTGCTCTAGTTTGTACTCGTTTGGTGTAAAAATACAGTTTCCGATGCACCACAAACTGATATATACAAGCTAAAAATCACATATTATGATCATCTTGCTTCATAATGTAGAGTTTGAATGGGATAAAACGGGTACAAAAGTGTTAATATTCCATATAATCTCGAAGATTCCATTAAATTTGAGGAGTTGAGGGAGTGGTTGTAATTATCCAAACAAGAGGGGTTTATAATTTGATCATACCTCAGGGGTGTTTGTAATTTAAGTAATATATTTTAAATAGGTATGATAATAAAAAAATCATAACAGTGATGAATTGCAGATTCCTGGCAGAGGCAACTTCCTAGAAACTAACCAACATATGTTTATTAAGTTTGGAGTGGGACAAATTTATTCTCTGGCCTTTATTGAGAGACTGCTAATTTCATGGCCCAAGCATTGTTGGAGTTGGGCCCACTTATGATAATGATAGTTTCCAACTAAATCAATATTTTATTAGATAAATTCATCAAATTACGAAAACTCTTTCTGATTTGGATAATTACACGTCAATTTTTTTGGTGTTAAATTCAATAGAATATTCTAGATTTCGTGGATGTTCTCTACTTTGTACTTTTTTGTGCAAATATGCAGTTTACGATACACCATAATCTAATATTTACACGTCAAACAACATCTTACGATCATATTGATTCAAAAAGTGAAACTCGAATGAGGGTAAAAACTAGAAAATATTCCACATAATTTAGAAGATTTCACTAAATTTGAAACTGCAAGGGTAGACGCATAAGAAGATTCATAGCTGATGAGTGATTGTAATTAGCCAAACATGAGGAGTTTCTTCGTAATTTGATTTTACCTCATGGGATGATCATAATTTCTCCAATTTTATTATTATTATTATTATTATATATATTGATGATGTTAATTACTTAGATCACCTGAGGTAGTGTAGAAAACGAACGTGCTGATAGTAGAAATAGTCCAGAGAATACATTTAATAGTATTGCTCAGATAATAGGACGTACCTTAAGGAATGAGTTCAGACGTGTATTTATAACTTAGTCGAGATTGTCGGGCCCAAACCTTACTTGAAGGTGATTGGGCCTCGGTGATAGTGGTCTTCAATATTGGGCTCGTGGCCCAGTAAATAAATAATTTGTAGGCCCATTGGATTGGACCAATTAGGCATATCATATATATATATATATATATATTGAAATCTTAGATTAGGACTTTAGGAGTTGAACATAAACAAATGGCTTGCCAATAAATAGATAGATAGATACATAGTCGTTAGATAGAATGGTTTTTGTTCATTGTTTAGCTCTTGGATTTTCTCATTGTCAGCTACTATCTTAATTGTAGATTGCACCTTTTTTTTTAAATAAAAAAAATAAATAAAAAAATAACTTTCTTGTTAGGTCAACGAAATATGTATATAGTCCAAAGGAGTTTACCTATTTATTTATGGTGTTTGTTTGTTGTAATTATTTCACAACTTTACTTGGAGTTGGTACTTAAGGCCATGCTATAAAAGGCCAAATCTTTAAAAAAAAATTAATTAAAATAATAATAATAACTTATTCCCTACTTATTTGATGGGCTTGCAGCATAAAATATCTGATTCGGGCTAAGCCCAATTAGATATTGTGAACGACGGGTTAATCGGGTCAACAATTTGGGTTCGGGTTCGGGTTTGGGTTTGGGTTTGGGTTTTGATTTAACCATTTGAAGATTTAATTTAATTTAGCGCAAAAGCTTTCGGATGACAATGGCGAAATCGTTGCACCTGCATCTCATACTCCGCTGCTCTAAGTCCTCATACGCCTCTGCGGCGGCGCCGCTGCGCCTCCTCCGCCTTCACTCAAAACCGACGATGAAACTCTCTCTCCCGAGATTCTTATCAACCACCGTCACTCCCTGCCCACTCCAATACGAAATGATAATCTCCCGCCCCGCCAACACCCCTCACCGACAACCCGGCCGCCGCCGCTCACTAGCCGCCAGCCCTAAATCCTTGCCCGGAGATTCAGGATCCGACCCGGCCACCGGTTTCGACGCATGGGTCGATAAAAAGCTGACCACCAAAGATACTACTGATGATAATAATAATAATAATAATAATAGTCAGAACGGAGAATTGGTCATGGATAAGGCTCAGAGAAAGTACTACAGCAAGAGGAGAAAGAGAATGTACGGAGAATCTGAGTCGGACGACGAAAATGGTGGTCGGAGGAGCGAGAGCGATTTTATTGAATTGAAGCAGGAGGTGGTGGAGATGCGCACTCTGCATCAGAAAGAGGAAGAGCTGTACTTCTACGACGCGTTTGCTTACCCGTGGGAGAAAGACAAGCATTACAAAATGGTTTATCAATTGGAGAAGAAGTATTTCCCCGATCAGTGTTTCGACAAGGCGTTTTTGGAGCCCGGGAAACCGAATTCGAAACAAGGGAAGAAGGGGATTCGAAGTTCGCGCGTCGAAGCGACTAACGGGGATGATAAGGGGTTGGTGCTTTTTGAGGAGAATGAGAAGGAAGAAGTGAAGGATGTAAGAGTTGAAGATGTTACGGAGAAGAAAGTGGAGGACTTCTTCAAGTGTTTGAAGAAATTCCCCAATGAAAAAGTTGGAGATGTTACGGCTGTTGGGCCGTTTCTTTCGACTAGGAGTGTTGGCCTTCCGCCGAAATGGGATGGTCCGAGTGGCACTGTGGTCTTGGTCAACAAACCTAAAGGTGAACTCTTTTTCGTAATGTATTACAGAAGATTTTTGTTTTGTGTGTATGTTAAAGATATTAAATCCATGGAATGATTGATATCAAGAATCAGAATTCAATGTTATGCACTTAAAAACTTTTCCAACGAAGAAAAGTGAAAAACGAGCTTCTTATGGTCAAGACAATAAGAAGAATTTTACGTTCCTCTTCTTTTAATTGATGTAACGAGGTGATAAACTAATGATCAGTTTAAACAGGTTGGACCTCGTTTACAGTTTGTGGAAAACTGCGACGACTTGTCAATGTTAAAAAGGCGAGTCTTGTGTTTTCATCGAGAAGTTGGATACATACACCTTCAGTAATTTTACTGATATTCATCCCACAAACTTATCTTTTATTGACAGGTTGGCCATGCTGGAACTCTAGATCCAATGGCAACTGGTTTATTGATTGTATGTGTAGGTAAAGCTACCAAGCAGGTCGATAGGTATGCATATCCAATTTTTTTTTTTTTTTTGATAATATTGTACCGTATATATGTATATAATATATTTCAAGGCATGTTATCTTTGCTCTTCAAATATTTCAATATTGTTTTCTTGCAGCTACCAAGGCATGATTAAGGGGTACAGTGGAATCTTCCGTTTAGGAGAAGCCACCTCAACCTGGGATGCTGATTCACCAGTGTGTTCTATTTCCCTGAATATAAATAGGCATTTTGCTTCCCGTTTCTATTTAAATCGGAATTGAGGATTTCTATATTTCAGGTTATCCAAAGGGAACCTTGGGAACATATTAAGGAGGAGGATATTAAGAAAGCGGCAGCTTCTTTTTGTGGGGAGATATGGCAAGTCCCTCCGATGTTTTCTGCTATCAAAGTAAGATTTTTTGTAGCTCGTTTTCTTTATTTCATGGCAAAGTAGCAAAATAATGTGCTATGTATGTGAAAGCATACTGTATAATGTATATTGCTTGAAGTTGTCGATTGTAAATTGAATAGCTGGAAATTGTTATCATGTCATAACTTGATGCACATTTATATTTGTAGACTTTCATCGTTTGCTGTTGTGATATTTATCGATATATGGTAGGTTGGAGGAGAGCGAATGTATGAGAAAGCTAGAAAAGGAGAAAGCATTGAACTTGCTCCTAGACGAATCTCGATCTTTAATTTTGACGTTGAACGAAGTTTAGACGACAGGTTTTCTTCTTCTCGTTAATTATTTCTATTTACATTGATATGTTTAAATACACCTAGACACGTTCATTCAAATCCAATTATATTCTCAGGCAAAATGTGATTTTCCGGGTGACTTGTTCTAAGGGAACTTATATTCGATCACTTTGTGCTGATTTTGGGAAGCTTCTCGGCAGGTAGGATATATATATATAGTACTTGTAACATTTTCACCGACAATTAGAATCGACATGGAGTATAATACCTGTTTTTTTCGTTTTTGTAGCTGTGCACATTTGACAGCCTTACGAAGAGATTCAATCGGTGAGGCTGATTCATTCATCATTATTCCCCTTATTTTCTCGACACTTCTACACTCATTATTTCATTCCCTCTCCGTTTACATTTAATAATTAATCGTGTGCATCGTTTTCAGGAGAATATTCGGCAGACGACGCGTGGGAATTTCAAGAGTTGGAAGAAGGCATCACTAAAGGATATATATAGTTTTCTTGTTATTAATAATGTTCTCACCCATTCATTATTCAATAATTTACAACATTTTATTTTTAATCATACTCACTTTAAGAAATAACAATTTATTTAAATGTTTGTTGTTTGGCTGCTGCATATTTATTAATCAGAAGTTATTAAAGGGCCTATTACTAACTATATTCAATCACAGAAATTAGCTCATATCTATTTGTAAGAACAAAAATAAGTTGAGGGTTTCTAAATAATTATCCCCCGCTATAAATTCACCCGAAAATGGAGAATCGGTAACTGATACATACAAAACTATATCAAATTTCTTCTTTAAAAAAAAAAGAAACTTCTATCAAACTTTCGAGCACATGAAAAAATCGAGACAGCTAACGAGAAGTGGAGTTAGGAGGATCGATTCCCATAGAGATAAAGTAGGCTTTCTCAGCTGCAGTCATGCGATCCTGAAACAGTGTCCATTCATTTCTACACCTTTCCCTTACCTTCAAAAAAAAAAAAAAACCAGAGTTTTTATTACAGATAATAATATCAGTAAATAAATCTGTAAGAATAAAAATTATCTGTTTATATATATATTTTCGTACCCCTTCCCATGGCGCCTTGCCTTTCTCGGCCTTACCCTGGAAATGAAATGCATATATTATTATTTTTCCAAAAGTTCGGAATTAACTGAAGAAAGTGACTCGATTCAGACAAGGATTCGTGTCTTTAAGTTTACCTGATTGCCAAGTGAAGGAACAGTTTGGTGCACTATCCACTGAGAATCGACAACTCCTATTTTTTCATGCGCAGGCTGGTTTTTTTTTTTTTTTTAATATAGGAAATGTTGCAGCGTTAGCAGAAACGAGGATACAATTTATATGAGCAACGAAATGAATTTCATTTTCTACATATAGAAGAATGAGACGACAACTTACCTCCACACATTTCCTAAGTGCAAAATCGAGCCCCCATCCATGGACCAAGTCATTCTGTACCATTTTCCAATAATATATTTTCAAGATTTCACAGTGTCGTCGAAGAAAATATAAAATAAAAATAAACCTTTTGGTACCTGAATCATATGCCACACGCATCGCCAAGCATCTCGAGAAAAAACCGGAGCCATAATCTCAACAAACGCTGCACAGGGTGGCAAATGTGGGTCTGTGCACCATCCCGGTCTTTCCTCTGTGTCCCTGTCAGTGAAAAAGAAAAAACGATATTAAATTAGTGAACATTAACAATCATTAACGACAAGCGTCGATGCAGATTGAGAAACACTAGTTTTTTTTTGTGACTGTTCGTACTTGTGAACTTCACTCTCCTCTTGTCGCCTCGTCATTTGCCACGTCATTCCACTGTCAAGAGATAAACCAGGCTGCGAAATATCCAACCCGTGCTTCCTCACCAGCTTTATATACCTGTAACGAATTGAATATTAATATATAATTTCATTAATTAATTAATCCAAACTACTTCATAAACACGCCATAAGCTGTTTTAACTTACTCCTCTGCGTCGAAATTCTCAACCCCTAAGTCTTCATCCCAGATAAATACATAATCGAAGGGCGCCACAATGTCCGGGTGCAAAAAACGCTTCGCGTACCACCTAATAAGATCAAAATTACAATATAATTTTAATGTTTTTCATCATAAGCCATTATTACTTCAAAAAAAAAGAATTTGATTGATAATTAATTACCATTTAGTTTGCTTTCGCACGCTCACATGAATAGACCGTTTTGACCACTCGAATTCATCCCATTCACTTGCTCGACCGTCATAGTGAAACAACAATATTGTGAAGTTTTCTGACAACTGTAAAAAACTCTTTGTCAAACAACTCTAAACATATATATATATATATATACTCACAACATATACATATATAATTTACTTTTTTAATCTTACCTTCTTTACTGCAGCATCAATGTTGTATCTCTGCTCATATCCCACAGTAAAAGTGAAAAGATATCTCGGTTTTACGATTAAGTCCTGCAAATGGCCAATCCATTCAATTCTTTTTTTTAATGAAATTAGCAAGTTGACTAAATATTGTATTAGGCAGGAAAAAGCTAATTAAAACACGAATAATATAGTACGAAATATAGGGGGCAAAAGCATACACACCTCACCAGGAAGACCCCATAATCTACGAGTATATAAATCAGACTCAGCTACGATAACGCCAGGTGGCAGTCTCTCAGCACCTCTCGGATTCGTTGGGACCCAAATCTGCGTAGAATCACTTAAAAAAATCAAGAAAAATCGAGTACCATAGAATTGATAAAAACCAACAATAATCGAGACGAAAAAAATTGTTTAAAAACAGTCGAAAAATGAAATTTTTGGCCGAACCTTAGTATTATTGAACTTTCTCGAAAAGCCTCTACGACCTTTAAGAGAAGACCACACGTTTAACAACGCTTGAGTCGACAAACCAGAGTACTTGTCCTCGATGTAAGAAAGATCAATAGAAGGGAATATGTTTGATGATATATTAACCTGGTGGTACGAATCAAATTATGCAACGAAAGGAAACAATCCGATAAATATTACAAAACATCGTACTACGAGAAATCGAGTGTAAAGCTAACATTGTCTTACCTTTGTCAACGAAAGAGCAGGGAAAGATACACCTAAAAAGAAGCCGAATATAACCCCTACGATAGTTGTTACGAGTAGCCTCATTGTTTCGTTTGTTCTTCTCGTATGCCAGCTGATGACAAATGAAGGAACTACATTACGATTCTTTTACAATAGCTAATAAAATTCGATAAGAAAATGAATTTGGCTTAAGAAATGAATAATTACTTTGAAGTGGTCGATTTTCGGATAGGTGTAACCATTGTTTTGTCAGAATCTTTGGAGGAGATGGCCACTCTACATATCAGTATCTGATTATTTGTCAAATCATAATATGTATATATAATAAAAGATACCCAAATATAAATCATGAAACAGGGGATTATGAAATTTGAATCTGGTAATGAAAATCAATTAAGACAAAAAACATGAACAAGTAGTAATAAATGTATATAGATCAGTCACAGAGTAGAGTCTCAACTACTAATTAATCTACGCTTACGAAAGAAAAAAAAACATGGCAGCTCAAACACACGCGCGCGCACAACAAAAGGATGAATCATTTCAAAAAAAGAAAAAAACAAATCTGAAGATAAAAACAGCAGTATTCCGACAATGTGGGTATTAATTACCTAATTGAAGAATCGAGCTCTAGAATCTGATGATGGGTACGAGGTTTCGAAGAGTGTTAAGTGGGGTTCGGAGAATGATGGTGTTCAAATCAGGGACAACAAATAAAGGGGAAGAAAAGCAAATAGAAAAAAATACTAAAAAAAGAGAGATTCTTTCTTTGATTGAGATTGAATTGAATGGTGGAAACTGGGAAACCACCAATTATGAGCTTTGATTCTTCTTCAGCAAAAACCAATCTGTCAAAAAACACACCAGGAACAGGGGTGGGGTCCACCGCCAAGAAAAAAAAAACAATAAAATATTATTAAATCGAATAAATATAAGATGGAAATTATATTATTACTGAAACTAACTTAAAAGAATTAGATATTGTAATCTATAGTGGAAATTTTATTTTGGGCAAAATACACTTTACCCCTTGTACTATACCTTATGTAACACTTACCCCCTTGAACTATGGAAAATACACTTACCCCCCTATTTTAATGGTCAACCTATTTGACTCTTAACGGTGTTAGTAGTAAAATAAATTTAATATATTTTTAATAATTCTTACTAAATAACAAATTTTTTATTTAAAAACATAATATATGTACTATGAATAAATTAAATAAATATTTAAGATAATAATATTTTTAAATTTAAATAAGAAAAATATTTTTACTTTTTCAATTCAATATATTTTTTAATAATTCATAAGAAAGGACACCTAATTTTTATTAAAAAAAATATTTTTTCATTGTGGATAATTATATTAAATAAGTATTTAACATGTATAAAATTTTACATAAAATATTTAATCATTAGATATTTATATTAAAAATTGTAATTCTACGATAGTGTTTTTTTAACGATATATGCTAATAATTTATTTTATTTATTTGTAACATCAAATTTCATTTAAGCCTTTTACATTTAGGATTAACTATACGAAATTTAATGTTACAAATAAATGTTAAAATTCAATGTACACAATGTTTAACGAGTTAAATAATTTAACTCAGAATATGAAAAAATATACTTGCTACTTGGTTGTATAAAATAATACATGAAAATTTTTTTGAAGTAAAGAAAATGTGTCGTTTAGTAAGAATAAAAATATATTAAATTTATTTTACTACTAACACCGTTAAGAGTCAAATAGGTTGACCATTAAAATAGGGGGGGTAAGTGTATTTTTCATAGTACAGGGGGGTAAGTGTTACATAGGACATAGTAAAAGGGGGTAAAGTGTATTTTGCCCTTTTATTTTTAGGGCAAGTACACTGTAATACAAACAAAATAAAACATGTATTAATTAAAATTTACCAAAAATAAAACATTAAATTATTTTGATTGGTTGCATGTTAGATGGAGGTTTTGTCTTGGCTTGACGTAACGCTTATTCAAATATTAAGTTTTTTATTGCTCTTATGAAATTTTTCATTTATTATTATCTTATTTTGTACAATAGAACATTGATAAACTAATATTCGATAAATTAATAACCTTGATTAAATAATAGTTTCTCTCAATCTCATCTCGGTGAAAACATGTTAAATTATTAACTTGATAATTTAATAATTCACTAAATTAATAGAATTTTTCTAGTCCCAACTGTATTAATTTATATAAATTTAATTGTAATTAATAGTAATTACTATTTATTGGGCTGTCATTTTCTTACTTGTAGCCCAATTATTAACCTTACTCTCAATTTGGGCTTAAAGTCGGCTTAATATATTGGGCTCAATAACCGACTTGAACTTGATCTTTTTAACTATCCAAGAACAATGTCTGTGTGTTAATTGACACATGTTCGAATTCATTTATCGGCTTATCAGCGGTCGCTAGCTGAAGCTTGTAACACATGGTTAACTTAGGTTTACATATTTTATATTATTTATAAACTATTATACGACATAGTATATTTAACTAATGCACCTATATGTTGGATGTGTGTTCCTTCTTTTTTTTTTAAACAAAAGACGAAATAAAGTCTACTTTGATTTTCGACTATGGATTCATTTGATGCTAATGTATAACTAGTAAATCTTTTATTTACTATTTGTCCTTATTACTCGAGATTATCATTATATTAATTTCTATTTTGAGAGCTGATTGCACTAACAAATTAAGAAACTTTTATACTTCCATATTTATTAAAAAAATAAAAAGAAACTTGTAAAATATGTAAGACTTTCGTTTGGTAAGATTAATCAGATTTTATTTATAAGATGATATAAAATAGTTTTTTCATGAAAAAAATGCTATATGATTCTTACATAAATTCCAATGTCTTTGCAAACCAGATAAAAAAAAACATTCAAAAACAAACCTAGAAAACAAAGATTTAATTATTTACGTAATCGTACTTTATTTATTCGAGTTGAATCATAGGGAGCTGAAGCTGAACTCGCAAATTTTTTCAAACTTAATAAAATTACTAAGAAATCACAATAATTAAATCAACAATCAACACTAGATTCGATCACCCATAGAATCGGATATTAACATTATGAAATTTTGTTTGTGGAAATATATATTTTTGCTACTAGCAAAAGTTTGGAGGAGGTCCAAAAAGTAATAAATAAATGTACAGTGGGGGGGGGAATAATGAAATAATGAATGAATGGGGATTGCAGATGCCACGTGGCACAAAGCATAGACTTCCATGTTTGACCTCGTCCCCCAAATTAAATTTCAAAACTATCACCCCCACCCCCAACCCAAACAAATAGCTTTCCTTAAACAATCACTTCTGATTTCTCTCTCCCAAAATACAAATTCAAACAGGATTTCTCAATTTCCTGATTTCCGAAGCTTCATGATTATCCTTATCTGAATCAAATTAATTTCAGTTACTTTTTTTTTTTTTTTGGTTCAATTTTTTTGCTCGGAGTTACGATGTCGTCGCCGGACATTGCCGGAGTATTGGACAACGCTAAGGAGCTCGATCGGCTGAGGAAGGAGCAAGAGGAGGTGCTCGGAGAAATCAACAGGATGCACAAGAAGCTGCAATCTAGTGAGTCTCGGTTCTACCTTAGAGTTTTTGTTTCACTACGTTATTTGTTTGCTGTTTTGTTTGAATTTAATTGTTTCTGATCGGAGTTATGGGGGTTGTCGTCTTTTTTATTTTCGGATAGTGCTGAATTAGAGAGAATGTTTTACTGATTTTACTTGTCTCTATTATGTTTGGAATTTATATGGATCATAAGTGATGCATGGGCTTTTAATTGGTGTGCGGATTGTTTGTTTTTTGCTGATGAGATTTGAATGTCTTTATTTTGACTTGACATTTGTTGAATTTATCTGTTGGATGAAGTTCAGATGTTCAATGCATTTATTTTACTTTTGGGATGCAACAAAAAAGCTAAACACCATGATTCTTTATTTATTTATTGTTTTCTTTTTTGGATTCCTTGTTGAATTTCAGCCAGTTGTCTTGAAATAAGCCAATTTGGAATGCAAATTGGTGAGTGAAATAGAGCTCAAAAATTGGTTTGTTTATTTTGATAGTTGAGTTCGTTTTCGACTTCATGAGTTAACCATCATCGAGCTAGGTTTAGTATGGTGTAGTGACTCGAGCTTAAACAAATTTCCCCACTGTCGATTTGGAGTAGCTTGGGTCGGTTTGTAGTCTTATATTTGAGTGGAAAAAATCTTGAATCAACTCATTTTCTTTATCTAATTAGTAGTCTTCCTTTTTTAAATATGATATATTATTTGCTTATTGGTGAATTTGAATCGTCTTCTATACATGTGAACTGCCTTATGTTTTCCGGAACTAAAGAATTATGACTGTTTCGAACAGTGTTTTCACGGGTATACATATATGTATTTGTGTGTGTGTGTGTGTATGCACGTCTCTTCAAGTGATGTCATATTTATGGTAGAAAAATCTCGATTCTAGACTTTGTTATTAGATCAGCAAAATAACTTTGCCGTTTTTGTGTTTTTTTTTGTTTGCCGATGCAGCTCCAGAGATAGTTGAAAGGCCTGGTGATAACTCACTGTTAAAGCTTAAGATGTTATATACTCAAGCCAAAGATATGTCCGAGAGTGAAGTAGCGTATGTTTCATTAATACTCTGTTTAAGATGTTTGAGTTTCTAAATTTTTAAATTTATATCTGCAAAAGTTTCTCTCCTACTACTTCGAGCCATCGACACTGTTGATGTTATTGTCTTGATCTTGAATGAATATCCCCTAGTTAAGCTTTAAATCCATGATTTCATTCTAATTTGTACCTCACCTATACAAAAATAAACCATGTGCATATTCTTCTAAGCTATTTCCTCTTTTTCATGTTCGCCTTTTTGCAGTCTTTCCAGTCAATTGTTAGGACAAATTGATGCATTATTGCCTTCTGGAACTCAAGGACAACATCGAAGAAGGATAGGTTTGTACCTGCCACAAGTAAATTTTTTAACAGACGTAATGTTTCTGTCTATGTGGGTTTGAACACTTCCTATTACTCCCGAAGCTGTAGAGTAATTGTAGTTGGAATGTCATTCTCTTGGTCCGTATACTAGGTAGACATATTTAACTTCCTCATCCCGTAATAATCTCGACTCTTATTGCTAAAATTTTATTACCTTTTCCCATGGCTCGAAAATATTCGTGGAAAAAGGAGAATCTGGAAAAGAGTTAAATCATTTTCCATAATGATGCAACTATTAAAGGAAATAAGATTTGATGCACGTGCTTATCGTGTAATATCATTTTCTTATTAGGTTTACAATAGCATAATATCAAGAAAAATGTAATTTAGCTTGAATTAGATATCCTCTAAATTGGTGTCTCTGTTTTGATTTGAAACAAAAAAAAAACGTGTTACGCATGTAAATCGTACATATAACTTCAAAACTTGTTGAACGACAGAAGGCAGTGAGCAGAAGAAGAAGAGGGTGAAGGCTGATTCAGAAGTCCCGAGAATGTCTCCTACCATGAGAAGTCACTTAGAGTCTCTTGCAAACTTGAAGGGCGAACAAGTATGTATTCCTACTGTACTATTTATCCACCTACTTGTTTTCCTTCCAACGTGCCTATTGTAATAACATTATATCATCACTTGACAAGCATGCAATTTTTTATTTTTTTGCTGATTAAATAAACTTTCACACAATTTAGGTGGCTGCAAGAATCATTCAAGATGATGCTGGAAAGGATGCCGGAAAGGATGAATGGTTTGTGGTTAAAGTAATCCATTTTGACAAAGAAACGAGAGAGTAAGTGGTCTTTGTATCTTCACAGGAACATTGAGAAAATATTAGGCATTTATATAAGATAGGAAACAAACATAAGATCAAGATCAAAATACATTTAATTTTTTAAGTGGCTTCATTTTTTTATGGTCCTTTTTCGTAGATTCGAAGTCCTAGATGAGGATCCGGGCGACGACGAAGAGAGCACTGGGCAGAGGTTGGCATTTTCTTTCTTCCTTATTTCTGTTTTCCCTTGCGTATTTATTTGGTTCTATAATTCTCTCAACTCATATTTGAAATTTATAAACATTTTGGCGCTTGGTGATAGTTATATATGAGTTTATTAATGAAGAATAAACCATTTAGTATATTTCTTAACTAGTACACCGGATGATACGCTTGTGATCGTCTATCATAACAGTATTTTAGCTAAACAAAAAGGTAACTAAGTATTCGAAATTAAGAAAAGTTAATGCTTCTAACTATGATATTATGACTAATATTATGTTCAACAAATTAATAATGCGTAATTGTCTTGTACGTGCTTTTTCATATTTTTAATGTTCGACTTAGCCGTACCTTCCATATTTATACAGTGCATGGTTTTTTTAACATTTATTACTCTTATAAATCACCCCACAACATATTTCATTTTCAGAAAATACAAGCTGCCTATGTCACATATTATACCTTTTCCTAAGCGAGGTGATCTCTCCACTTCACCCGACTTTCCCCCCGGAAAAAATGTCTTGGCAGTTTATCCAGAAACCACTGCACTATATAAAGCAACCGTTGTACAGGCGCGCAAGGTATTAATTTGTTGTTCATTCATTACCGCTTTACTTTTACAGATAAAAGTGATATGGAACTAACTATTCCTTACTTTGCGTGTCATATGATGCTCGTGAATTCAAATCATATAGAGGAAAATTGACGAGTGAGTAGCTTTTACATCTCTTTTTTTGCTTATTTTATGTTACTTTATTCGTTATGTTTCCAATCTTTTTTTCTGAACCCGATAGTTTTGGCTTTTTGACAGTTACGTTTTGGAATTTGATGACGACGAAGAGGCTCAAAGATTGGTTCCGTTCCACAGGGTTGTTCCTCTACCTGAAGGATATCGCCCGTGATTATATTTATGTTTATATTGTTGTAAAAAAAGTTTACGGAGGACTTATATATATATCTCTCCTAAATGTAATGTATTAAATTAATTAATCTTATACATTGCAATAACTAGAACCACTAATCGTCCACTTCAATGCAGATTAGCATTAGTTCGTCGTATAAATGATTTTACGAAGTGTAATGTTTGTTCATTCATACGCAACCACTTGACCAATCAATCCACACATTGTAGCATAATATAATGTATTTGTTGATTTTCGGTAAGATATCTCTTATTGCAAATATGTGTTCGTTTAACGAGCATGGTGTGCATTTATAAATCATGATACCGAATTTGAACAGAAGATTCGATTAACTGAAGGATCGGAATCTGATTTATGCCTTATAAAAGCATGCTCTTGAGATGGGTACGGGAGGATCTGAAAAGGATCCGCTTACAATACGGGTCGCGATCCAACGGTTAGCAGCTTCGGTATAATGTACACCATCCCAGCTTATAACTGCAGAAGGATTCGAACAAGAACCACCCGTAACTTCGCTTCCATTTACATTTCCTTTATTTCCACACCAAACATCATACCCGATTCCATGATATCCGCAGCATATCGTAAAAGAGTCCTCAAATCCTGTTAAACAACATAAAACATTGTTAAATAAAAATAGAAAAGTTTACATCTTTTTTTTTTAATTCATGAAAATAATAATCACCTTGGTTCTTTGCGTCGGTGATTAGTCCATACTTGGCACTATACATATCCACGTAGATTATTACAGCCTCGGAAAGCTGTGATCTCAGGTTGACAATTTCATCTTTGAGCTGTTTGTTGAATTCCAAAGCTACGTCGTTTTGACTCTTGACGCAGCCATGCTTATCGAGGTAACCTGGCACGGGATTTTGAACTTTAACGGTTGCCACGGGCAAACATCCGATGGGGCCCGTATTGTGCACCCAGAAATTCCTTGCCCCTCTGTTGTAAAGATTCTGTCACCAATTCATACAAGAACAAAAGTTTAGAATAAAAGAAATATGAATAATAATAATAATGTGAATTGTTTTTCTTAAAAAGAAAAAGAAAAAAACTTGCTTGGAGTTGAACTTTAAACTGGTTGACTATTTGAGGCAGAGCTGCTTTCTGTAGTTCAATGCTGAGCTTTCGTATACCTGCAGCAACATCATTCTGCCCTATATCGATTACGTAGAGTGCCTTCGAGAAATCCTTAGGCCTCGGCATTCGTTTTCTATTACACTTTTTTTTATCTGAAATAAAGAAAAAATAAATCAGAAAGCATCAACTTTAAAGTAAAGAAGAAAAATTATAAGGATATATAATATATATTACCTTTGTAGAAAAAAAATGTTTTTTCTTTTAATTGTGTGTAGTGCTCAACTTGGATTTCGAGATTGAAAGGGCTGACACCGTTCACAAACCAAGACTCGTTCGGCCGCATAACGGTTGCACCCCCCGTTGCAAAGTTCGCGCCGTGACGGTAATTTGATCCTATTGAATCCAAGTATGGACTCAAATATGGCAACCCCAAATCACCAGCTTCATTTATTCAAACATTTAAAACATTAAGTGGTGAGTAAAAAAATGAAAATTTGTACTTATCTATATATATAGAAATATATAAATTTATTACCAATAAAGTCTATGATGAGACGGCCATCGGAGGCTCTTCCAGCTGGGCGATGGAAGTAGGTTTCGCCGGAGGGTAATGCCGGTGGATAGAATGCCGCAGCTGATCCGCCGGTGTCGGAATTCGAATCGCCGAAATTGTAAATTGCAGGGTAATTACATTTTGGTAATTTATTTTCACTAGCATTTGCTGATGTGGCAGGTGAGAATAAAAAGAGTCCAAGAAGAAAGCTTATCAACAACTCTATCATAGTGTAGACTGTAGATACTAAAATTTGTAATGATAGAACAATGAGTAAAATTGAGACAGAGATATATATGTATATATCAGTTATATATATAAAGGCATCATGTGCTTTTTTTTTGTTTTGTTAAAAGGACAGAAATCATGGGATAAAAGTGATTTGAGTATTTAATAGAGAAATCTGGTGGTGTGACAAATGTGCTCTAAAGTTGGTGTAAAAGGAGACTTGTCTTATTTGTATATTATATTGTTCGAAAAATTCAACGAGTCGATTAATCGGATTTACATATGTATTCGATTTTCTCCGATTCCCATGGTTCATTATAAATTTATAAAAATCACTACCAGCTAAATTAAGATTTTTCTTGAGTGACTGAAATTGCCAATTTGTGATTGTTACATACTTACATAGACTTGAAATATATGTGCTACTTTCCCTATTTATTTGGCAAGCGTGATTAAAATGGGTCGAAAACCGCTTAACGACGCGATTATTACACACGAAAAGTACGATTTAGGGAAAAGTCCATTTGGAGCATTTTTTTTTTGGTAATCCATTTGGAGCATGCTTTTTACTATGATATTTCAATGATTAGTACCATATTTTTTTTTTTTTTTTTTACAATTTTATTAAGTTGAGGATAACAAAGATACATATTTGTGCATAATCCCTAATTTATTTGAAAAATTAGGTATGGGTATGGGATTAGGGGATTATAAATTGACAACAAAAGAACAATATGAACGAAATGAACACAAATAGAGAAACTATGAATAACACTACTTCAACAAACGAAGGGGCTTAACTTTTGAAAGGGTCAGTTTCTTTAGTTATATTTTTCTCGTCTAGAATCCACTGACGGTGGCTCCAACAACCCAGTACAAAACACAGTTTACCCAGAAACTCTAGATCGGGCCAAAACCACTCAGTTTGGTCAACACTCTCATCCAAAACTCTCAACCTCAGCTTTGAATTCTTTCACTCGGTGTTTCCTTCGCTCAGATGTTTATCTTACTCGTTCACTAAAGAACAGAGACTTAGAAGAGATTCACATTGTGCTCTCTCTCTCTCTCTATCTCTCTCTCATACACACACGCAGAACGATTTACTATATAGATGTAAAAAGAGAAGTTGTCACTAATTTGGAGAATAGAAACTGTACGACCATCGTCATAGTAAAATGAGTGCTTCGCCAGAAAATGCCAAGTGCATTAAATGCGACGTTACGACCAGAGAAGAGAGAGAAAATAAATATCATAAATTAGGGTTTGAGAGAGAGTTGGGGATTAAATATCTCGAATGAGTAGCATGTATCAAAGAGATGAGAATCAACGGTCAATTTTAAAGATCTAGACTGGTATTAGTGGATTTTTTTTTTCTTTTTTTTCTTTTGACTTATTGTTGGGCCGTCTCATAGTAGATTGGGTTAATTGGCTGCATATAAAATCCATTGAGCTCAAAATCCAACACAAAGCAAGTAAATGTTGATAAGAAAAATCCAACCAATAGTTATTACACACAAGAGCAAAATAAACATAGATAAAGGCCAAACATCACAAAGTTAATGCTGAAATTGCTGATTTTCAAAGCATTATTTATTACATAAACAAGATGGCAAAACCGTAAATAACAATCTTAATAATAATAATAATAATCAACGCTTAAGACAAGCTCGAGAAAGAGGCATGGGTGGATCAGAATAAGAGCCATACAGTACGTGATTAGCAACCCAGTTATTAGCAGCCTGAGAATAGTGGACCCCATCCCAGCTTACACACCTCGCGTGTGACCCACGCGCCCCACCAAATACCATACTCCCATTTATCATTTGTCTCTGCCCACACCACACATGCACATTTCTCTTGTGATACCCACAGCATATTCTCATCGAATCCCCAAACCCTAATCCAAAATTAAAATTAAATTAAAATAAATTTCCATTTTTAATATTCATCTATTCTAAATTTACGCGAAAAAATTCTCGATTTTTATAGATATATATATGTACCGTATGTTTTTGCGTTGGTGATTAGTTGATACTTAGCGGAGTAAATATCGACGTAGATCAACGAAGCGCGTGGCAGCTCTGCCCTTAGTAGCCTCACTCTTGATTTAAGCTGCTTATTGAACTCCACTGCTATGTCATTATGGCTCTTAACGCATCCGTACTTGTCGAAAAAATCGGGATTCGGAGTTCGAATGTACATACTTGCAGCTGGCAAACATCCGACCGGCCCCGTATTGTGAATCCAAAACGCCCTCGCCCCTTGTTGATACAAACGCTGCAAAAATAATTACATGTTTGAACATTTAGTAAACAACTTTATTTAAAAAATTAAAGAAATGCAATATGATTTATTTAATGAAGAAACTTACTATAACTGCTGCAGCGAATTGATCGACAATATTAGGAATCTCGGCTCGAAGTTGAGGCATAGTCAGCTTTCTGAAACCGGCGGTTAGGTCATTTTGGCCGATATCGAATGTGTAGAGAGACCTTGAGAAATCCTTTGGCCTAGGGAGTTTGCTTCTGTTGAACGGTGTTCTTGCTAAAAAAATATTCGATCCCGGAAACAAAAAAAATTGAATTTATTTTTTTGCATGACAAAAAAAGAAATAATAATAATAATAAAAAGAAACGAAACAAGAACTACATTTCACCTTGATGATACAATTCACTTGTTCTTGACTTGAATTGAAGGAATTGCATAGTTTGAATATCGAGCGAGAACGGACTTATTCCGTTTTCGAATATGCTTTCGTTTTGCCTGCGAATTGTCGATACTCCGGTAGCGAAATTTGCTCCGTGCCGGAAATTCGTCCCTATTGAATCCAAGTATGGACTCAAATATGGCAGCCCCAACTTTTCAGCTGCATGCACAACATATATATTATATAAATTATAATCACTTGCACGAAATGTCGAAATCACACCCTAAAAAAATATATATATATATATATACCTATAAAGTCTATGAGAAGACGACCATCGGAATTTCTTCCGGAAGGTCTTCCAAAGAAGTTGACTCCATAGGGTCGAGGAGTTGGCCAAAACGCTGCTGACGTGGCGCCAGTGTCCGAATTCGAGTCGCCAAAGTTATAAATTGCTTGAAAATCGCACGGCAAGGCTGTAGGAATCCATTTTCCAACGGTGCTTGCGGCAACCGAAACTAATGCAATAACAACAGCAAACAGAAATCTTGCATTTCCCATATTGCTATGGTTCACATACATTAAAAAAAATGATAATATTAATAAATAATGTAGCAATAGGAATTTAAAAAGTGAGGAAAAGAGGAAAAAGTTAGATGTGTGCATGCCAAAAACGTGTGATGAATTGAATTTATTTTATGAATATATCTTGGATTTTTATGTCCTGAATTTAAGCAATGTGAGCAGCATTATTCTTGCTCCTCTTCTCTCTCTCTCTTTTTTTTTCTTTTTCGTTCAGTACGAGGTGTCTGTCCTTTTCCACCATAAAAATTAACAAAACAATTAAAAAAAATTAAAAAAATAGAAATAAAAATAAAATATAAAAAATTGAAAAAAATCATAGTAACAAGATTTTGCATATAAATAATAAAAATCTGAATTTTAATGTATAGCTGTCCCATAAATATAAAGTTTCAAATGAAAATAAATATGGTCTACATAATGGTACATAAATTCATAGAATCTTGATCAACATAAGGGTTATTATAGTCAATACGAGGTGGATAATGCCTAGCAGCTTCATCGTAGTAGTAGTTGTTGCTGCGAGAATATTCCGGCAGACGATTCCTCATCGGAGGACCGTTGTAGGAATATTCCGGCAAACCATTCCTCATAATCGGAGGCACATAACCTGGCGTCTCGTGCCACATACCTTCCGGCAACGATCTCTGATTGCCGTAGGGTAATTTTTCTCCGTAGTAATTATAAGCGTACGAGCCATAATCATGATCGTACGGTCCCCTGTTGTTCATTTTTGGATGGCTGAGATTTGCCCACACGAGTTCTGCGTGGACCCCACACCTCGCTAATGCTTTGATGCAGTAGTTTGGGTCAACTTGGCCTGTAATTTTCGCTGTTTTTGTTTCTGCGTCTATGGTAACATCGTACACACCTTCGAAAATAATAATTATTATTATCATTAAAAAAAATTAATTGTTGAAAATGTTAAAAAAAAATTAAAAAAATTAATTAGATTATTACCGTCAATTGAACTTAATACTTCCATTGTCTGCCTCTTACAAGCATCACAACCACTGTGCACTTTCAACACACAACACTGCAACAACACAATATGTAATGAAATATATATATACATATATATTATTTTTCAATTCAGAAAATATATTAAAATATTTCATATGAAAAAAAATAGTAAGGGCTATTGGGTTTACCAAATTTGCATGACGATAATCCATTGGTCTTCCTTGAAAACTAACTGTAAATTAATTATATTATTAAACTTAATTGTGAATGAGAAATGAGATAATGAAAATGGAGAGATGTGCCGAAGAGATTAAAAAAGATAAACTAATCAACCAAATTAGGGTTTTAAAGAAAATTAAACACTCCACAATCTTGGAAACAAAATCATGGAAATATCCCTGTTACTTAAGGTAACAAGTGAGATATTATTGATACTCTGTTTTTTATTTTATTTTTCTACAAAAATATAATCAAGATTTATTTTTGTAGAGTATCTCAATATTAAATAATTTAATCAATATTTAATAAAAAAAAATAATAATAAATATAATGAAATCAATAAATTTCAATGAAGCTGTTCTTCGGTAAATTGGTAGAATTAGTAATCATTTGCTTGAAGTAATGAACAATAACAGATTTTATGGTTATCAATTTACACTAATCCAATAAAAGAAACAAGAAGTTTCCATACCTCTTCCAATGAAAAAAAAATCACCCAAAGTATACCAACAAAAGAAAAAAAAAAAGATCGAAAATCAGAAGAAATCAATCTCCAAGTAATTATCCGAAGGCTTCACATCGACACCACTCTGCACCTTGTTCACCACTGAAGGTGCAGGTGCACCTGCACGGAACCCACGATCACAATCAAAATCCATAACGAACGGCTCAGGTACATCGGGCGGACTGGTGCACCGAATCAAAGCCCAGTTCACATTCTGAAAAAACGGGTGCTGCTTTATCTCAGACGCACCTCTCCTGTACGCAAGCCTATGCTGAGGCTCCTTCACAAGCAACCCTCTAATCAAATCTCTCGCAGCAAAACTAACCGTCGGACTTTCTGGAAACCTCAAAGGCTGTCCAACAACGTTGAACAATGTAGCCTTATTCCCTTGTCCTTTAAACGGCGTTGTCCCGAACAAAAGCTCGTACAAAAAAACCCCAAAAGTCCACCAATCGACCGCACTGCCATGCCCTTCTCCCTTGATTATTTCCGGTGCTAAATACTCGTGTGTCCCTACAAATGACATTGATCTTGCGTCTGTCGGCTCTACTATTAGTTCGGGGAGTGGGCTCACTTGATTGTTTGTGTCTGTTTTTCGTCTGTATTTCTTTTCTTTTTTCGGTTTCCCAAGAAAACGGGGCCCAAAACATGTTGTCTGGATATTAGCGCATGATGGCTCCATGGAATATCTCGAGCTTTTTGATTCCACGATTGGGTTTGACGATTTGACTAGTGTTGGACTAAAAGTGCACCTCAGTGAGAGGTCGAAATCGGAAAGCATTATATGCCCGTCTTGTCTAACTAAAACATTTTCCGGTTTGAGATCTCTGTATATGATACCGAGCATGTGCAAGTATTCTAAAGCAAGTAGAACTTCAGCCAAATAAAACCTGAAATAATTCAAGAAAAAAATTGTATTTAATAAATGCATCAATAATGATCTCTCATAATCAAGAAAATTACTCTGTTTTTTTTAACCTGGCAGCGTGCTCGGGGAAGAATTTCCCACGTTGTTTCTGTCGAAGTGCATGCAAATCTCCACCTGGACAAAACTCCATAACCAGGAAAGAGAATTTCTCCGTCTCGAAATGAGTGTACAATGTTGGAAGAAAAGGATGATCCAAAGATTTCAATATCTCTCTCTCTGTTTGAGCTCTGAGAATCTTCTTCCTATGGGCTAAAACTTCTTTATCCATCACTTTCATGGCGAAGCAAGTTCTCGTCCCTATCAGCTCAGCCAAATGAACGCTGCCGATATCTCCACACCCCAATCTCTTAAAAATCCTGAAATTTTTCAACTCTAACGCCCCGTTATTGCGCGATCTGACAAGCTTAATCGCCTCCCACCTTACATCGTTTGTTTTGTGCGGTTTGTACATAGCACTGCCGTAACTGCTCGAGCTGCTGCTCTCATCGCTGACATCACTTCCACTGCTTCCTCTGTAGAAACTATTCGTCTTTCTACTCTCTACTACAAAGTCGCACGAATTGCTAACTTCACCGCTCTCACAAGACTGCCTCACACTACTGACTTCGGTGTTGGTAAAGCTCTGTTTGCCTTCGATGTACTGTGTGGCGGAGTAGAAACTTTCTTGAGGGCTCGGACAAAAACGTGGTCCTGATTTAGACCGTAAATCAGCATTCAACGACCCCACCACAGCTCCTTCAGCCAAAACGGGGTACGAAAGGCAAATTTCGACATCATCATGATCAATGGTTTTAGCTGTCCCAAGTTTGTTCGGTGTGTCATATTCCTCTGTTTCACAATCTTTGTCACGGAATTTCTCTTTTCCTTGGTGGAATCTGATGTCATCGAATTCATTCTGCATTACCGAATGGGGGGTTTTGTAGGAGTTTTTCGAAAAGATTGAGGGGCTCGATGGAGAATATGCAGCCTTTGTTACACGAGTTCGAGATGATCTAGCCTCGTATGTATGTTGTTTTTTGGATCGGGGGTGGGGTGGGCGGCTTGTACCATGGGCAGAAGAGTAATTGTACTCGAGATTTATGGAACTGACTTCCTCAGCAAGCGGTTCGATCGTGTCGTACGGCATTGTCACTGCACGAAATCACCACCAAAGGGAACAGAGTTAAAACTAAGTTTCCTAATTTCATAAAATCTCAAGAAAATTTAGTAGGGTTTCCTACTAAATTTAAACGATTAAAACAACTCGATTTCTGAATGCGAAAATTCAAACAATGAGCCTGAATTGAACCAAGCTCTTCCACACTAAAACAAAGAGAATTCTGTAAAATTCCACTACCAAGAAACAGTGAAAAAATTCCCCAGAAAAAGATTGAAACAAAAAACAAAATTGTTCATAATCATAAAGTGATTCAGTTCTTCGCTCACATTACCATATAAACCAAAACAAGTAAGCAAAAAAGAAAATCCTAAAAAAAGAGAAGGAAAATTATCGATTTACCTTATATCAGAGAATGCAAAATGGCGAACTATCTTTCATAAACCCTCGGCAAATTAAGAAAAAGCCCTTCAAGAAAACTCTGCGCCGGAGAATCAACTGTGTGTGGGGCAATTACAGCTTTGCTATTCGTTTCAGATCCGATTGAAACAGGAGAAAGCGAAAGGATATTGATTACAGAAAAGAAGAATAGAGAAACAATTGTATGATTACTCTAATAGTGGTGAATTCAGAGAAACGATTCTTCCTCTATCGATTAATGAATCAAATGGAATGTATTATGGATAAAGAAGAATGAGAAGAAGAAGAAGAAGAAGTGGCCTGAAAACTGAAACTCAGTTTACAAGCAAAGCAAAGCTTTAACAAGTAAGAAATTAAAGAAAGGAAAGAGGAGAGAGAAACGAATGGGGGATTTTCTTCCAAATGAAATTGAAAACCCTGATTTTGTAACTCTCTCTCTCTCTCTCTCTCTCTCTCTCTCTATCTACGTACTTGTTAATTCACTTTCTCGCTCTACATTGTTTACACGTACTATACGTGTTGGTGTGTGCGATTATTATAAAATGTTATGATTTTATATTGGTTAATTTATCTTAAAAATAAATCCAGACTTTTGATATTTTGGTAAATTAATTAAGTAAATGCACATAAAATCCGGGATAGTGAAAATCAGAAGCGGTCACGTGCATGCATGTGAATGAGGGCCGTGCCAATGTGGACCGTTTGTTAATAGTAGTCCGGCTCATCACCAAAATTTACCTGCTTCAATTCTAACATAATTCCTGAATCATCAACAATTTTAAATCACTATTAATTTGAATGGTGATAATTAAAGATTTATGAGTTTATTATTTAATTTTACTTTTTGTGATTTTTCGCCAAAATAAAAAATAAAAAACAATAATCATAATCTATTTTTTTTTAATTAATTCAGAAACAAATGATATGCTTGTCCATAACCAATGCTTCTGTTCTGGCCCAATGTAGAGCCCAGTAGTTATAAGACAGTAGCCCACTAGAACAAGGGCATTTATTTAAATAGAAAAGCCCAAAATTACCCTTCATATATATTTAAAAAAGTTAATAAATAATTTTATTTGCACATAAATACTCAATAACACATAATATACAGCAAAAATTAACACATAATAACCATGTGGAACTGGTAATAAAGACAAATTCATCACCAATCATCAAAGTTATAAAAAAAAAAAAAGAATCAAGAGTTCAAGATTGCTGAAGCAAACTATCGAAATACAAGTTTAAAATGTATCTGCCGGTGGATAAAACATCAAGCCTCTTATCTCTAGGCTCGTATTTCCCTCTCCTGAGCTGATAACGAAGAGTTACAGCTGATATCGTATAAGCTTTCCCTTCTATCGTCACACTCTCACCGCACTGCAAATTCTGCCATTTTACAGTCGATCAATTTACTTCGTTACATATAGTCTAGTCGTCTATAGTTCCAACTTTAATTATGGCTACAATACGATTTTATGTTCGGTATAAGCTTTGCCTTCTATAGTTCAACTTTACTAACGAAGATGATATGCGAATTCATGCTAGATAAAAAATTACACCCAGCCACGCGATTATTCAAAAACCTATTTTCAGTACTAGTATAATTTCTTTCATACTTGCCTCACAGAAGAAAATATTTGTTACTCCAGAGTTCAAGTAATTTCAGAGTGCAAATATCACGTAGTTCTGAGCATGTTGCATTACAGGGAAAAAACATCAGATAGTTCAATTCAATAGAAACCCATCCAAATTAAAGTGGATATTTTATATTTTATTTTATTTTTATTCTAGCATTCTACTGACTATTCCAGATCCTCAATCAATTGCAACCAAAAACTCAGTTAAATTCAAATTATTTAAAAAAAAAAAAAAAAAAAAAAAAAAAAGGAAGAAGAACTTACAGAAGGAAAGCAGCGAATGCCGAGGTTTTTGGGCGGAGGAGTAATCTCAATGACTTTGTAGGGGTCTCCTTTCTCTTTATCTTTCTTTCTGCACACAATTTGCGGACTCTGTGTCTATAAACTAAACAATTCAGACGATCGATAATTTCCCCAAATTCAAAAAAAAAAAAAAAAAAAAAAAAAAAAAACAATTTTCTGATAAGAAGATGAAATGAATCGGCATAAAATTCAGAGATTGTACCTTTCGCAATGTTGAAAAGCTAGAAACCGTCGTCGCCATTGTTCACCGCCGCGGCTGGACTTCTTTCTTTGATTTGTTTAATTGTTTTATTTCTGTCACCGGAGCCAGTGTGTGTGAAGAAGACGACCTGATATTTTTCTCACTCTAGCTCACAGATTATAAATTGTATTTATAAGACTAAGACTGGACGAAATTTTGTGGATGTAATTTTTTCAATGCGATTTTCTTTTCTTTTTTTCCCAACAAAAATATTTTCGTTCAACATTAAAAGAAAAAAAAAATAGAATCAAGATAAATATAGTATGGTAGGAAAAAAAATTACCAGAATATTTCCTACCAAATTGAAACTCGAATTACCGAAAAAATTACATTTAAAGTCTACAAGCAGATAGCTCAGTGAAAATAGTTGCTCTTACATGCTAATATTACACATCGAATACACAGCCAAAAAGTTGCTCGAAAAACGGAGCCTAGAATGTATTTTGAGGATTAGCCCTCCTCCTAAAATCCTGCCTGTAATAAGGAGTTTCATCGATAGTTTTCCTAACATAGTCCAAAAACGGCTGTGGGGTCCGAGGAGACTCCTCGTTTATAACAACAGCAGGGCTACTCCGCTCGGGTGTGACAGGCGCTGCAACACTCGGACTACGAAAAGCCACAACCGATTGAGTTCTAACAGGTCTATCGAAATAACATACGATAGAAGCCGTCATTAATACCACCACAATGGTAAAACCAAACAAACCAACCCATAAACGCAAATTTGCCCGTTCAACAATTGTTTCTCTCTCTTCAGGCTCGTAGCTAACGCTGATTTCAACTCTCTGACCAGTTGCTGGGAGTGAAAAAATAAGTTGCTCTCGTAATCTCTCAGCCCCCAAAACTTTGACCTCGTATTGCAAATATTTCCCAATTACGGGTCTAACTGAGAGACGACTCTTGTCATGCCAGTTGACTTCAACGTCTGTGTTTCCAATTATGGTTAAGGCACTTTTGTTGGACTCTCGTGTAAGATTTAGATGCAATGCATTCTTGTCCATTTCGAGTATAGTAAACCCTCCAATGAAGAGTGCAGAGGCAGAACCGGAAATGTTATGGTCGTCTCTGAGTGACGCCTTAACAGAAACAGAAACTTGCTGATGTGGAGCATCGCTTGGAGATGAACGAGCCAAATGTTCGGGAGAGTAAGGGAAGAATAGACAGTACGAATTACCAGTGTCTGGATCCTTCCACGGCTTAGTAAACCCAATACTAACTGGGTCAACTGCACAGTCGAACAAGAAGAACGTATCCTGAGCATCGTTAAATTTAACAGAGAAAGCATATCCTTTTGCTGGAAATGGTACATTGGTCAGGATCTCGTTAGGAGCACCTACCAAAACCATATTCCCTTTCAACGCAGATCCTTCACGAATGACTGGATTCGAAGGATACAACTGAAGACCGACAGAAATTATTGCATAGAGTGATTTCCGAGGATCACTGACGAAAGCTACTTGAACGAGAGCTAGCCCTTGGCTTTTTGCCTGAAGATGGACCTTCCCATTGTATTCTTCAATTGAAACAATGTCAGGATAGTTTGTTTTGACTTCAAATAGAGTGATGTTGTAAGCCTCGTGAAAAGGATTTCCAAGTGTGTCGTGATACTTGATTGGAAGATCAAGTTCAGCACCTACTGCCAAAGTGTGAACTGGAAACTCATCTGCCATAATTCGGATTTGAGCAACCTCAGAAACCCTCACACAAGACGCAACTTCGGTTCTCCCAGTTGACCTGTCTTTTGCTTGAATGCACGCGAGATTGCCAGAGTCCTTCGTAACGATTTTAGCCCCATCGATATATATATCATCGTTTCGCACATCTTCAGTCTTTCTCTTGCAGTGTCCTAACAAGGAATAATCGATGCCTTTATCACTCGAAGAATCTCCCTTTTTGTAGGCATGTGAAGAATAAGGTAAAAGATCCGAAGAGGTGTAGTGAGGAGGAATGACCCAGGTAGCTTGTGATCCAAGAGCAAGTGGAAGATTAGAAACCACCCACAATGACATAGATGCACTGTACGACACTGACTTCGAGAATGAATTAGGTAACTTGTAATCACAAGAGAACGAAACAGTAACATTCGATTTGCCAGAAGATATTCCTCGCAGAACTTGAATAAAATTAAGGTCTTGTCCTGTCCCATGTGCTTTGTTTGCCACCTGAAAATTCAATACATCTTTGTCTCCCACAGTCCACTTAAAATTCTTACAGAGCTCGTAAAACGAAAATAAATTTCCCTCGGACAAAGAAGGATGTATTGGCATCGTGCGGTCAACAGCAATTTGTTCGCTCTGAACACTTAAAACTGCAGACGAAGGAATCCCCACTTTAACTTTCCCATACGCTCGGCAAAGCATGATACCACCATCACCGAATATTGTGGCAATTAAGGTACCGTTCCCCGGTGAAATTGCAGAAAGTCGTCCCGAAAACTTGTGAATTTCAGCAGTCTGATCATCCGTACTGGCATACTGAACACGTGAACCAATTTTAGGGCCTCCTTTTACTGTGACCACATACGACGAACCTGGTACCAGGAATATATCACTGGGGTGTACTTCCGGTGGAGCATATACTTCAAGCATAACCAGTTGGCTCAGTATTTTATGCCCAGAAGGTTTGATAGCACTAAGATATATGGTTGTCACACCAAGACGTGTAGCTTGTAATGTGAAACTTGGCCCATGTAAGTTCTCCACAACCTCAACTATATTTTCCTCAATCTGGACATGAATGTTCATATAAATGTACTGAGAAGGGTCAAAAACATGCCCATTATCAATCCCAACCGAAAAATTTATAGACTGGAAACTTCCCTCCATAATGCTTATGCGTTCACCTGTTAAAATCTTAATCCAGTCCATCTCGGCAACTTGGACAGTGGAAGATGCAGAAAGAGGAGGAACAAGTCCAATATCGTGTACCGTAACAAGTGCGGGACCCAGGCCTTTAGGAGCCAATGTTAGCTGTGAACACTCATGAGCATGTATCGGTTGAATTACTTCTACAATTCCAGTATCGTTTACAAATGTGTCCACGAAGCAGCTCCCTCCAGTTATGGAGATATTCAACCTAGCTTCGGGACTGAAAAACAGCAAGCTGAACTCTGGACTCACTCGAAGAGAAGAAACGAGCTGCAGCTGAATTGCATCTGTAAGAGTGGTTGTAGAACTCTCGAGCATCATAGAAAAATCAGGACGGCTCAGAGAATCGACGAAGCCGATGACAGTGGAGCGCACGATGCACCGTCCAGACGTATTTTGCAATACCAAAAACCTTTCCCAGCTGGAATACGCTTTCGAACCGTCCGAATCCTCCAAAAGTGCCAACCCTTCACATTCACTTAATCCCCATCTTAGACTGAGAGAAGATGAATTTGCGAAAGCTTTCCCAGAATCACTGAGTCCAACAGCTGATATTCGTATTCTGCGTCCATTGGCTACTGTAACTGGGGTGGCACGAATTCCTCCAGGCATTTGTTCAGCCTGAGCTGCAGCCTGTATAACTGGATGAGCATTCCAAGCTTCATCGGCTATTATTACAATAGAAGACGGAAAGCTACAAATAAGGGACAGCTCAACTTCAGATACAACTGGCAAATGATGGTCTTCACCAAATAGGTTTCCGCGTCTGAAAATAAGTTTAAAAGACCCCAAACTTTTGCATCCTATTCTATATGGGTTACCATGGCTGGTTGACATTTGATGGATAAAAATTTTATGTTTCACGTTAGAATTCTGTCCATCCAATACATGCATGTTTTCAATGAACTCTACTTCCTTGCCCCACCTTTCTGGTCCCCCGTAAAGAATTACATCCAAGTAAGTTCCAGGAGCAAGATACACATAATCCAAGTTCTTCAGCTGATTCTGAGATTCCATACGAGCCAAATCAAACCAGTAACCACCAAAATGGTTCCCATCACTCGCCTGATGCACGATAAGTGGTGAATATGCAGCAATACACGAGGAAACTTTCAAGACATTAGATTCCCTACCAGTATGGTCAGACTGTTGATTATCTCTATTTAACGTTGCATGCACCACAGTGCGACCAGAATCTGAAGCATAAATACGAGTCCATGCACAAGGAGGACCATATGATGAGGAACTGAGTTCAAAAGCTTCTTGTCTATCCAAAAATAATAATTCCTCAGTTGCATTGACAATTACGAAAGAGTCACTCTCGGTTTTCCATCTGATGGATGACCTGAAAGCATCACATGCATAGAAATACGCACCACTTGATGCTATCAATGTCACAGAAGCTTGAAGATATGTCCCAACAGGCGTCTCCACAGGGAAGTTAGGCAGAATAACCATCGAAGAAGGGACAGAAACTTCAATAACCATCTCATCAAAATTCAAAGGATCGAAGATGGACACTGCTCTAATAGTTGCTTTTCCGGGCTTCTTTGCCTGAACTATGCCGGAGACAGATACAGACACAACAGCCATGTCCAAAGACACCCATTTATAGTCACTGGAAGACATAGCACAACCTCCGCTTGCTTTAAGCTCAAGCTCCTGATAGACACCAGGTACCCATGGGAGTAGAATTCTGTTAGAAACATCACCTTCTCCTTCCATAACGAACTTAACTTGATCACAAACCATAACTTCTTGAACAACCTTGAGAACTTCTTTCCTTGTATCATGCCCAGTATTGTAGGCCAGAGTTGCTGTAAGCTTTCCCAATCCATATGAATTTGCATTTAGTATTCTATAATTGCTCTTAGTAGCAACACTCTCTGAAACTGGGAGAATATCCCAGAACTCGTCCTGGTTATCATGCAGCTCAACCTCGTCATTTTCTGTTATAAAAATTTCCTGTGTAACAGGTCCGGGCGAGAAAACCTTAATGTGTAGGAGATACTGTCGGCCAGCCACTACATACCAACGTGAAACAGAGGAAATAGGCTCGACACCGTCAATATAATCACCAGAAAGGGAGAATGGTGACAGAAATAACAACAGATTATCTGGTAAGACAACATGGAGAGATGATATTTGCATGTGTCCAACAACTCGAGTGTCTTCAACAATAACTGTGGTTACCCCCAAGTCGAGTGCACTAGCTGTACCCGCTTCTCCGTCCACCTCAGCAATTGAAGAATTCAAAGAGGACCACTGATGGAATGGAGATGGTAAACTTACAACATGCGGCCTGTTATTACGGATAACTTTAAGGGTATAACGGACAACAGCACCTATGAGGACATACACAGGTGATGGAGGATCTAAAGACATTGCTTCTGCAACTGTCAAAGTAATCTCGTCTTCCAATTTCTTCACTGATGATTCTAGCAGATTAACGGAAACAATTTCGTGGCCGATTTCAGTGCCTTTTACTACATACAGATCTGAAAAGACACCACTTTCTTCAAGATTTACTTGGATGTCCAAATCACCGAACAAGCCGCCACAATCACTCAACGGAGAGTCTTTTAAAGGAACGTGGACAAGGTTATGAGGCAACTCGTGGTTTTCAGGCATCAACCGCCACATGAATTGCAGGCCCACCAAGGAGGAGAAGACATTATCTGTATCAAACACAAGGGGAAAAGAACACATAGGTAAATGTACGAAAGTGAAACACGCAAACCTTATGCATACGGGATGAGAATAACTAATTTTAGAGTTTGTATACCTTCACTATCAAAGGCACGTACGCGCAACGTAGCGAGCCCATCAAGATCAAGCTTAATCGAGTTGTGAAATATCTGAATCCTAGAGATTGTATCGATATAAACCTTGCAACGAATCACCGTCCCGGTGTTTGAATCAGTAGCATAAACAGCCGTCTCCTTCCGCCCGCCATAAGGTGCAATGGACTTCAATCGAGCACTCGTCGAACAGTGGCTACTCGAATTGAACTCCGGCAAGACCGACAATATATCATGATGGTCCCAAGACCTATGTGCAGCACAATTAAAATCAATTACTTCTCGCTAATTAAGAAAAACAAATATAATTATAATTAATTAACTAAAAAGGGGCAAAAAAAATGCTGGTACAAAACGTAAAGGAGGTGTAACGTACCATTTGAAGCAGCCGTCGCTGCCTTGAAGACGGTATTCAACGGGGTGGGTCATCTTGGGAGGCAGGAGTATGTTGACATCGGCGATGTGAGGGCCGGAGCTTGAGAGCGACGCCGTACGGTGGAGTAACAGCAGGAGGAGGAGTGAAGAAATGAGAAATGCGGCGGAGGACGGCATGATTTGGTTTCTCAGGTGAAAATGGGGAAGAAGGTAAGAGATATGTTCATTGATTAATTGTTAGGAAACTTTTTGAAAAAGGAAATTTGGAGGGGGGGAATCTATTTAGGGTTTTGGCCATTTCGGAATGGGTTTTTGCAGGGAAGAAAACAAGGGATGATGAATGGCAGTTGGACACGTGTCGTTTGACTGATGTTTGACTGAATTATTTGTGGGAGGAAGATTAGAGTAGGGGTGTAAACGAGCCGAGCTCGCCTCTTTTGGCTGTCTCGAGCTCGAGCTCGAGTTTATTTTGTCGAGCTCGAGCTCGAGCTCGTCGAGCTCCTCTTTTTTTGGCTCGAGCTCGAGCTCGTGTCAATTTGTCGAGCTCG